TTTTATTGTGTGTGTAGAAGGGGAAACTCCAACTGTATACAATTTTTTATATTGGTGTTTGTTGTAATTTGTAAGAAAACCAAAGTCTTTGAAAGAAAATGCAGTAGTTTGTTGATTTTACTACTGTGAAGAAAACCCAGAGCTGATTGATATGCAGGGGAAAAATAAACTTTGGCTGATATAAATCTGTGTGTACTGAGTAGTGTTTTCAAATCAGATTGAAACATGTTCTTGAGGGTTAATATGAAGTGTGATGAATGAATGCATGACGATATTGTCCCTGTTCTGTTGGTCGGAACTCGGAAGAGACTCTGTTTGAGGATTCTGTTAGTCAGACGAGGCTAAAACTACTCGACAGATCAACCTGTTTGAGGATTCTGTTAGTCGGAGGAGGCTAAAACTACTCGACAGATGTAAATCTGTTTGGGGATTCTGTTAGTCGGACGAGACAAACTACTCGACAAATCGATTGCTTCGATGAAAGATTTCACTATGGAGAATGTAATGTTGTTCTGATTTTTTCGTGTTAGTACCAAAGATTTGCAGTGTATGATGGTGTGACAGTGCTAAAATACTCAGACTTGGTAAAAGTAGACAAAGCAAGCTTCAGTTATAAGAAATTCTATGGAGCTACCGAATGGTTTTCAGTTATACATTTGTTATAAACCTACAGAGTTTCACACTCAATTATACCTTTGTTTTAATCTACACAGTTTCACACTCAAATGTGATGATAATTCATAGTATAAATATGCATTTTGTAGTATTAAAAAATATATTTGGTTTAAAATTAGGATTTTAAATGAAATACAATGGTTTAAAAATTTCAGAAAATATACTATTCATTTATGTCACTTTTTTCCCTACAATCTCACTGAAACAATTAAAAAAAAAATAAAAAGTAGTTAATATTATATAATTTCCATCGAAAAAAATTTGATCAATCACATATTATTAATTATCAATTTTTATTTTAATGTTTTCATATCACACCACATTTGATCATTTCATTTTTTAATTCATACATATTCATAATCTCAAATTTTTCATCCACAAAAATTCAAATATTTATAATGTTAAATCACAGTCAACACAAGACTAGTCCAAACGCGGCAACACCAAAGACTTTTCCTAGTTGCCAGAATAAAATAAATAAATAAATCAACACCACACAATTACACACAGACTCCTTCAATATAATCACAAATCATAAACCCATATCCTCAATACCAAACATGGGCCAGGAATCAATTATCCAACACCTACCACAAGAAATCACCATCAACATCCTCTCAAGACTCCCCATCAAAACCATCATAACTTGCAAACTCGTATGCAAGTCATGGCTCGAACTACTCGAGACTCGCGAGTTTGTCGATTTCCATCTATCGAAATCCCTCCCCGGGTTAATCGTCTTCAAAACCACGAGAAGCTCGAAAATACTCGAATTTTTCGAACTTAACGACGAGCCGAATCTCGAACACCACAATGTCCACTACAATCCGGTCACCGAGTTCGACCACGACTTGTTCCTTAGTCGCTCCACATGCATACAAGGCTCGGCTAACGGGCTTCTCTTTTTGCGCGAGGTAAACGCTCAGCCTAATGTGCTCCACATATGCAACCCGATCACGCGAGAATTTATCGAGCTTGAAAGCCAAGAAAAGTTCGTCTACTCTTATCCCACGATCGTCACTTATGGATTTGGAGTGAGCAGAACCACCGGCCAATATAAAGTCGTTAGAGTCTTCCACGAATGCACACGTGATGACAACACCAATGAATTGTTAGGAATTCCCAAGTCCGAGTGCCATGTGTACACGCTCGGGACGAGATCGTGGAGAAAAATCGCGCACGATCACGCGAAACTAGAGTACAGCTGTCGTTCGACCGGCGCTTTTTCGAACGGCAATCTCCATTGGTTGGTGGTGGATTTAGAGGGCACGTGTCGTATTTCTTGTTTCGACCTTGAAACCGAGCTTTCCGCACGTTTTTTATTAATCCTTGCAATGTGGTAGCGAATAGGAGGAGATGGCTAGGGGATTTGTACGTGCTGAGTGGTTGTTTGTGTATATGCGACAATGCGTCCGAGGATGAAATCGTAATTTGGTTGATGAGGGAGTATGGGGACGACAAATCGTGGACTAAGGAGTATGTGATTAGCAAACGACCGGATTTTGCCGGGGAATGTTATGAGGTCGTTCGACCGATGAAAGTTTTCGGAGATGGCGATGTTTTGATGGCGTGGGATGATTACTTCTTGTTCTACTATTCGGAAAGGGACAAAGTTGTTAGAAGCATCGATATGTTTGGGAGCTTTGGTAGCATAGACTCGTTTCTTCACAAGCCGAGCTTTTTTTCACTTACAAATTTTCCTATGGAGAATGCAGTGTCATTTTGATTTTTGCTTGTGCAATTCCAGAATAATTTATGTGTGATTGATTGTCTTTCTATGTTTGATATCTCTTTTTACTACATGAATTTTAACAAAGTAATTTCAAGTCTCATAATAAAAAACACTGGCCTTTTGAGAATATTAATTTAGCATAATTTTTTTATTATTATTATTTATCAATAAGTATGATTTTTTAATAAAAGAATCTAAAACAAGAAAAGAATATTTTATTTTATATTTTCGAGTTCGAATTAACAATATCAAAGTTAATTAAATAATTTTAAAATGTCTCGCACAAATCAGGGGTGGATGTACATAGGGGCCCGTAGAGGCACGGGCTCCTGTAAAATTTTGTGTAATGTAGTATATGTTACACAAAAATTATTTGATTACAACGAGAACCTACAAACTGAAGATGATGATTACAGTTCCTACAAAGTGAACTAAAACAGAATAGGAAAATACAAAAGAGAAAGCGGAAAATAGGCCGAGGCGATTGCTCTTTCCGCAAGACGAAAACGCGCGTACCTTAAAAACCGGAAGTAATTAATGAAAGAGAAAAAAAAATTATTATATTTGGTAACATATAAGCTAACCATCTCTCTCTCTCTCTCTCTATCTCTCTCTCTCTCTCTCTCCTCGAAGATTCTTATAGATTTTTTAGTCCTTCCAGCAATATTTCAGTGGCGGAAATTGCAATCGTTCAAGAAATTGAATTAATTTTTTTCTGTGAATTCAGGTTTTTTTATGATTTTTCTGTGAGAATTTTGGGGAGGATGATGTTTGAGAAATTGGATGGATGTAAAGGGCGGGTAGAAGGGGGAAGGTTTTGAAACTTTGAGAGGAGGGACAAGTATCATGATTCATGGAGGGGGAGGATGGAAGACGAGCAGTTCCTGTATAGTTTATTTTAGGTGTATGTTTGGTAAATAGCTGGGAAAATTTGACTAAATCTAAGGATAGGGGTGGGTTAGGGTTTAGGAATCTGAGACTGTTTAATGAAGCCTTGATTGTCAAACAGTTGTGGAGGGTGATAACCAAACCCAATTTGCTTGTGAATAAGGTCTTGAGAGGTAAATATTTCTGGAACCAAAATCTCATGGATGTGTCTTGCAAAAATTCTGACTCTTGGTTGTGGAGGAGCTGGATGAAAGCTCGAGAATCTTTGTAGTTAGGGATGAAGTATAGGGCGGGAGATGGGAAGAGTATCAACATTTGGAACTCTCCTTGGCTGCCATCCCAGAGATCATTTAAACCTGCATGCCACTTTCACTCTGATAGAGATAATCTGCAGAAGGTTGAGGATCTGATCATAAAAGAGACCAGAGAATGGGACACTGAATTAATTCTTCAATCTTTTATACCACAAGATGCAGAGGCTATTCTCAAAATACCTCTAAGTCATAGTGGCCAAAAGAACAGGCTAATCTGGCACTGGCATGATAAAGGGGAACTCACAGTGAAATCTGTTTATGATCATTTGATTTGGAGGGAAGCATAGAAGGAGGCTGACTCTAGTTCTTCACAAATGCTCACTAAGCAGATGTGGAAAACTACCTGGAACCTCCCTATTAAAAGCAAGGTGAAAAATTTTCTGTGGAGATGTTGGTTTGGGTTTTTAAGCACTGGGGTGAATTTACAAAAAAGGGGGATGGACTGTGATGTTTTGTGTCATATATGTGGTGAGGAGAGGGAGGATATAGATCATGTGCTGTTTCAATGTGGGAGAGCTAAGAATTGTTGGAAATTGGTGGGAATTGAGTGGCAGTGTTTCAGCTCAGGTTTAGGATCCTTTAAAAATTGGTGGTTTGATATTTGTTCCAAAAGATGCACTGTGGGCCTGTGTGATAGAATCAGTCTTTCAAGCTACTTTTGTGGTGGCTATGGAAGACTAGGAATGGTTGGCTCTTTGAACAAATTAAAACTCCAGAGATTGTCATTGTTAGAAGTGCTTGGGAGGAATGGTCTGAGTATGCTGGAATTTTAGAGGCAAAGAAGAATTCTACTAGCCTGTCACTCAATCATAAACAGGGTGGATTAGAAGAAGAGATGGTGGAGAATCATTCTGGAGTAGGACAGACTTTGCTAGCTGTCAGTGCTCTTCACACCAGCTCTGGGAATTTGGGTCTGGGAGGGGGAGTTTTCAGAGAAGGGGTCCTAATTCAGAGATGGGCTGAATCAACACAGTTCACAGGCACTAAAGAAGAAGGCAATCTTCTAGCTGTTAGATGGCTGATTGAGAAAGCTGCTGAAGCAAATTTTCAGGCCATTACATGCTGTGTTGATGAAGAAAAATTAACTACAAGATTGCAGAAAAAGGAACCCTTCAGCTATGTGTATGGCATTATTGCAGATGACATTTATGCATTGCTCCCTTTCTTTAAGAACTGTTCTATTATTTGTAATGCTTCTTTATGTTCTATTTGCAAGACTTTAGCCAAAGTGGCTGTGGAGGGGAGATAGAGTGTTATCTCCCCATGTGCTAGGATTCTAGTTGCTAGAACTTCTACATGTTTAGTCATTGGACTTATCGAATGTACTCTTGATGCTGAGTTCTTATAATATTTATCTCTGTTTGTGGAAAAAAAAAAAAATGTTTGGTAAATAGAACTACAATTTTTTGTGTTTTTCTCGAATATATACATGATAAATACATGACATATACATTTTTATATACATACGAAAAATATAAAAAATATATATACGAAAAATATACAGTATATATACCTGTAACAACATAAATAAAAAAAAATATATAAATATACTATATATATATATATATAAAATAAGTTGAAATCGTACTCATGTACATATAACAAAAAATTTACTATCGACCTTAACATATACTAAAAATATATTGTGACCTTAACATGTTTAAAATAAAAGTATATTTGTTAGTTTTTATTTTTTTTTTTTCTCAAAATGCATTTTTTTTTTTTTTAACGAGAGTTGGTTTCCTGTTGGCTTGTATATTTCTGAGATGCGAACTCTATCTTCGATGAGGGGAGGCCTCGGCGCCGGTTATTGAATTTCTTCCAATCATCGTTTTTGCCATTTTTTGAATTGGGTTGATATGTTGGTGTTTGCACTTGATAAGGTTTGTGTGAGAGAGAAAAAAAAAAGATAAAAAGTGTTGAAGAGAGTAGAGTAGTTGGCGGTGGGCAATGTTTGAGTGGTGAGATAATTCACTCTTCCATATGCATCGAGAACCTTTTTGTGGTATTGATAATATTTCCATTAATTTAGGTAGTAAATTGATTATGTAAGTCAACTTTTGATAGCAACTGAATTTTAGTAAAACTGCAAATATAAACGCAATCATTGGCTATAATGCTAATATTTTTACATGAGTATTATTTGTGTAATTATTAGTCCATTATTGCAAATGGAGCAGGAAGAGTCAATGTTGACAATTCTTCTGGCATTGTGCAAATAATGGACTAGATCAAAATGACTCAATTAAATTCTAGTGCTTCTTCTATTAGTGAAGTTTCTAGAAAAAATATATCAAACGACGCAACGCACCTCGGGTCACTATGGAAACAGCCTCATTGTATAATTACAAGGGTAAGGTCTGCGTATAACTGACCCCCCAGACCCCAACCTGTTTGGGAATATACTGAGTATGTTGATGTTGATGTTGATGATTATTTGTGTAATTAAAATTGAACTTTCGTAATTTTATCTTTAAATTTTGGCCGTAATATGGGGAGTTCATTATAGATCTAACTGGGTTACACCTTGGGCCTTCAGACCGGGCCCATATGATACAGTATCGATTTCGAAAACACATCTTAACCGTCCAATAAGTCAGTTGGCCATCAGAAAAGACCATCGGGATCTCGCGGCTTCCCTTCTCTTCACGCTGTTCGTAAAATTAGGGTTGCAGTCTGAAATTTGGTAATTTGTCATCGAATCTTATCCGTAAGTGTTCACTTCCGGTCTCCACTTGTGTGTGCTTGTATGTATATATGGCTACATTTTGATCTATATGATTTGGCCTGCTTGTTAATTGTATGTGGATTTTGAAGAGACGAAAAATGTAGCCATACTCAAGATGGGATATGAAGAGACACTCTATACCAATTTAGTTTGATATGATGTTTTTGGTTTATGTATAGCCGTGCTTCTTGATTCCCTTGCGATTTTTCATACTCAGAATGGTTTCTAGTTTTTTGCACAAGACTATATTTTTTTTTTCTTCAGTTAAGTAAACTTCCCTTTGATCAAACTCGTCTCGTCTCTGTTAGTGTGTGTGTCTGTGTGTGTGTTTTGAGAAGGAACCCTCTAACATTGGATAGGAAAAAGATAATTGATTGATGAAATTGGAGGGTCCTATGTTTTAAGTTTTAACCTCTGTGTAATGTACTAGTCCCCAATCGAAAGGGTCCTATCAACTTTTGCACAAATTCTTGTGGTAGTCGGGTCGATCCGTCGTACTTCTCATATGAAAATGTATAGTTATGTTATGAAGTGTCAATACTTT